CGGCGCAAACATAAAAGAAATAAAAAATCAAAGCAAATTAACAAATGCTACATTTTGGTTTTGTTTTGTTTGTTTTTCGATTAATTTTTTTTTTTTTTTTTTTTTTTTTTTTTTTTTTTTTTTTTTTGCTTATAAACCTTGTGATAGATAATATCAAACCGGTTCATCGGCTTTTTAAAAATTGCTGGAAATGCTTTCATTACAAATGCTGTTGCCAGCATTTATTATACTTTACTCTTCTATGGTGGAGTATATGGGGTATATCGGTTTTATTGTGTTTGTTTAGCTCTAAGCAGAAATTTATTAATTATATAAAAATAGTTGGGTAGTTTAAATTAAGCATGTAATTAAAATTGAATTTTTTTTTTTTTTTTTTTTTTTTTTTTTTGTATAATGTCCAGATCCAGATAAAACTAAATGACTTCTAAAATACATTAAAAATATAAATATCTATCGAAATAAGTCTTCTATAAGTAGTTGACTTGGCATAAGAATTTAGTAAATAAATGAAAAATGTAGCACAAACAAACATAACATTTAAAAATTTCATAAATTATTTTTTTAGTTTGCATTTTTTTTTAAAAGATTGTTTGTGCTGCATTTTTTTTTATCTTTTTGTTGTTGCGCCGCTCTTCCTCTTTTTTTAGTGCAGCATTTGCAACAGCGACAAATCCAACAACAACAACAACTAGAACAGTGGCATGAAGAACAGTTGGCAACACCTGTATGTCAATTCAAGTTCTGGCCAAAACCAGTTTTATCGGCTAATTGCTGCATCGCGGTCTCGAGGGTCATTCCATTGCCCTTCGCTCCCCTTAATTTGATTTTAAGCCACAACGACCACCCTCGCACCCTTGCGTTCAGTTCAGTCGACAACTCATTTAGATGTTGCGAGATGCAACACACACACCACCATACACACTGACTATGTGTGCGTGTGTGGCTTTGTGGTCGATTTCCCGACCCTGTTAATACTCGATTTATCGCTTTGATTGTTTCCTGTCCAACTAAAGTCGCCAATGTGCTTAAAGCTTTTAACTTTTTATTTTTATATTCCAAAGGCTTCAGATAATAGCTTATATAGTGCTGGGTTTGGAATAAGGAAAACCTCTATATATCTATTTTTTTATATACTTCAATAATTTAGTCATATTCTGTTTAAGTATAATTATGAAAAACAAATATTTTTGTTTCCCCAATTTGAATTCCAATATATGATAATAACATGCATAAAACCTGCATTAAATCGAATTCCTTTCAGCTACAAATGAAAAAGTCTAATAGCACATATGCTTAAAATAAAAATTAATAGAATCGTTGAATAAACTGTTAAAACTGTTCAAGTTTTTATTAGCTTTCCATAGATCCTAAAAATGCCGAACAAAACTTTATCTAATTCAAAAACAAAAGTAACAAAAGTGGCCCAAAAACTTGGCCAATTGTTTGGGGCTTAGTTAAATAGATTGACAAACGTTTAGCCATTCAACCGGAAAGTGGCCAACTGGGATAATATGTGAAATTAATTCGCTTAAGTATGCCATAGGCATACATATACGCCCCTCTATAGACAGCGGGAGAGAGAAAGAGAGAGAGAGGTAGAGGTGGGACGTCCTGCAAGTACTTAGAAATGAAAACAGACGCTGATGACGCATGGGCAAAGGGTGTGCCTTGGCTAAACACACTAAGGATTTGGCCAGGCCAGGCGTGCGAGCTGGTATGGGACTGGAGGGAAGAGGAGCTGGTGGTTGGGACGGGGGATTTGCGAGTGTGGAGACCATAACAAAATAGGCGCCAATGCGACGCGCGCTATTTGGAACGCCTTGAGGGTGGACCTAAGAACATTGCTGCCCCAAACCTCGATTAAATTGGCACATAAATGTTTGTCTATCATGAAAGAGAGAGGGAGAGAGAGAGAGACGGAGGTAACTGCTCTAATGAGTATAATGATGACATACGCAGAGGAGTTGGGAGCAATGGAAGTGAGCCGGAGCAACTGTTGCTTAACTTCGCTGCTCTGTTCACTCCTGCTCCCCTCCTCTACTCATCACTTCATAGCTCTTCTGTTCTCCTCAACTTGAGAGTCATCGTGCCTGAGGCACATAAATCAAGCAAATTCAAGTGAGCCGCCTTTGAGTATGGGGTCAACTAAGAGGCAGTTCTCAACGCTCACCTCTACACATGCAAATGAAAGCGAATTCTGGGTCTGGAGCAAGTTTCAGCTTAGGCGATTTAATAAGCAAATGCTAAATGTAATACAATTAGAAACGGGTTTCGTTGCGACGACATTGGTTCAGGTTGGACTGACTTTGAGAAACTTTTTTAAATAGAGAATAACAAGATAAGAGCGTAGAACTTCTATAAGACTCTAGTGCTATACGACCCTAGAACGGATTATGGCTGCCAAATCGGATTTTAATCAAAAAATAAAAAAGAATTTGAATTTGAATTTGTAAGTACTTTAGTGTTTCACAATATATATTTAATAATTTGTTGATTATATACCTCGAATTTTCCGACGCCCATAAAAGTTAGTAAAGCTCATTAAACGCTGACTGACCGATTCGAATCTGCCTCGAATCACACTATATGTGTATGTACATAAAAACTAAATGTATATATTTAGCAACTATCATTTAGTAAACAAGTTCATGGCGCAAACGCCTTTCCCACATTTATCTAGTCGATGGGTCTAACCAACTGGGAGTTCCCCGACAAATGGTGCGAAATCGCACATTTAGTCAAAGGTAACAACAACATTAAACAAATACAGTAAACACTTTAGGTAAGGAACAACATTCTCGTAGAGACAAATCTAACATTTTGCAAAGTTCTGTTAACTGTATGGAATAATAAATAAATTATTTTACATTATTAGCCTGGTACGCTTTAACGAGTCTCCACTGTGCTTAGCTTTTTTGAGCCATATGTGCGGCCAGCGGTCAGCTGAATTATTAACATTATTTGGCCTTGGTCGAGGCGCTCAGATGTCGAGCAACTGGACATGCGAACGTGTCAGAGTAAACGGTGCGGCGAGCCGTAGGGGTGTGTGGGGCGTTTAGGGGTTGGTTGGAGGTGCTCAACTGTTCTATATGGGTCACGGGCTCTTTAAGTTTGTTTACCGCATCGCCAGAGACCAGCGCAGCTTGAGTGTTATTATTAAAACTTGTCGTCTGGTTGCACAATCCCTATTCAAAGCAGTGTGTCCCCTGCCCTCCCCTACTCCTACACCTACCCCAACTTCCTTTGTTCAAGTTGGCCATTGCATTCGAGCCATAAACAAGGTTTCAGATGAATCGTGTTTACTGTTATGAACCCAACTGTACTTACTGGACTTCCTTATGTAAAGTTTCTCTTTAGGAAGCGGGGGAGGCAGAGTGAAGGAGAGGCGGTCAAGACCTACATGTGCTACACGCACTTTTAATGTGCCTTTTACTAATGCAAACTGAATACAACTGGTTGAAATCGCCTGTTCTTTGGCGAGATGAAAAAAAAATATATAAACAAATTTTAATTGCCTTTTCAGTTTATCCAAGAGAAAAGCAAAATGATTTCTAGAGAAAATTCCATATTTTTTTATCCGCAGAACGATCATTATATACGTATGTATGTATCAGAAAATTATATGTAGGTTTTTAATATGTTAATATGTGAACTTTGGTTATTTTATTATTGTATATCTAAGATAAATTCCCTAGATATAGAATCTTAAAAGGAACAAATTTTTAATGTGTGGTTTTATGTAGCATTTACATAAATACCCAAATCACTTCCTATTCTATTCAAAATTAATTTGCTCTTATAACATTTGCCCTAGCTCATATATAACACAGATTCATCTCAAGGCGAGAGCGAGAGCCAATGTCTGTTTTCTTTCAGTTTTTCGTTCGTAATAATAATTATGTTTGCTCTGCTTTTCAATTTACATTCGTATGCGTCAAATATCGCATATAGAACAGCTTTTTGGCCCGTTTCTATAATGCCACTCATTTGGCAGCTTGCCTTGAAATATATTTCATTCGACACATCCATCTCTCGCTCTCGCTCTCGCTCTTGCTCTCACTCTCATCCCCTTCCTCTCTCCCTCTCTCGCTGTCTCCTTAGCAGGTACGAAAATAGATAAACTAGAAACAGCAAATGCCAAAAGTCTTAAAATTATTATTACGATCCGCAAAGAGTTCAGCTACCCTAAATTCAATTGAGGCCTAGAAGCGGAATATGAAAAATAATGATATAAGACTTTTTACAACTTGACCCTACGCAACTCAATTCAATACATTAGCAAAAAGTCAAGAGAAGATTTGAAGGACTCGATGATATCATCAGCACGAAGGCATTAGCATAAGCTGTATAACTAAGCTTCTATGTCTACTTATATTACTACTATATATAGCTAAATTTAAGTTAATTATTCAATCTTTATCGAATCCCAATTAGCTTCTTTATAGTTTACCCAATCGTAACCTTTTAAACTAGCTCAAACTCCACGTGGGGGACAATGGCCCAGCTAGCTAATTGAGCGTACAGTAATTTCCTTTGGGCCAGCCAATGTGAAGACAGTTTTATGTAAATGTCAGCGGCAAATGGGGAAAAACTAAATTGTGAAAAACTACAACAAACATGACCAACATTTTGATGTGCTCTGACCACCAAGGGAGCTCGAGCTAACTGCACACCAGAATGATCCAAATCAAGGCCAGATAAAGATAGCAATGGCATTTATTATAATACATATGTACATATGTATTAGATGTATATACATATACATATATGTGTTTTATATTGATATATACATATATCACATATACAGTTTGGCTATCCATCATATTGAACTACATAAGTAATCGTTCGAGTCATATGCAAGTTGCTCGAAGTAAATTTATCGATTACAGTCGTAGGCTAGGGTCAAGTATTTATATCTTATAGTGTGTAGATATATATGTGTGTGTGTGTTGGTGTATGTGCATGTAATTGAACATTGCTGAAGACATAAGAATGTTGGCTGGCTTCTAATCGCAGTACATACGCCTTGATATTGGTAACGCACGCGCTGCAGGCGCCCTAGGCGTGTTCTGGACGTACAGACAGACAGAGATAGAGAGCGCGCGCGCGCGAGTGAGAGAGAGAGAGAGAGAGAGAAAAAAAGTCAGACAGAAAGCCGGAATAACTGACTGGCGTCATAGACCAGCGGCACAGACGTCTGGGCCAACTGCCAACCCCGTGTGGTCATTGCCAAACTTATTTCCTTGTACTTGAAAGCAATTCATTCTTCTTTTTCATTTTGGTGCTGCTTGGTAACAGCAAAAGGTGAAGACTGATTGACTGACAGATACCTCAACTATAGGGAATATGTGCTGTCAACAAGTTGAATGAGGTTGCATAATGCTGGAATGCTTAGATACTTTACATTCTATAATTGAGGAAAATCGATAAGTATCGATTCCAAGCATTCATAGTCTAACAAATCTAACTTGAATGGATCTCTATGTATCTAATCATAGAGTGATTAGCAAATATACGTGGAATAGAGAAAATATATTGGATACCAAAATTTTAAATCCAGCAACTTAGTATCCAAAATATTCATAAAGCCATTTGAATAATACTTTCAAATATCGATAACTAAAGTTAGTATTCATAAAGTAGAGTACATCGATGCAGCTAGGTAAAGTATTGCCTAAGTAATAAAGTCGTTGTATATCATATAACAAAATAATTATAGCAAATTGATAAACTAAAATAAAATACGGAATTATATACACTAGCAATTGCTCAACTGGTCAGACTAAATTTATAAGTATAGATATTCTAATATATCGTTAGGCGACACCAAAGCTAGAGTTCATACAGAGACATTTGATAGATCTAATCAGACCTATTGCTAATGCACACTCTGTAAAATTGTAGTCGAAACATATTCTAGGATGATACCCTTTACACCCTGTTAGATCCCCATGTATATAAATTTAATGAACCAGACCAGGCCAGAGGTGGCCGCAACTCAATACAAATCAACTTAGCTATCCAATATGGAAAGCCGTTTGCTGACATTGATTACTTATTGATAGATGTTTTTCGATTTTGTACTGAACGTTTTTTGTTTTTCCTCCCGTTTCCAGTTTTTGTTGCCTGCTGTACTCGACATTGTATTCAATATTCATTCATACGATTAATTTGTGTGTTTTGGGAATTCGAAACGCGAGCCTCGCTCTTTAGGTTGTTGCCGACGTTGCGTTATTTATGCAGTTGGCAAACGATGGGGTTGGGGCAGCGGCAGGTATTGGGGCTACGAGTACGGGTTGGGCATCCATTCAATGCGATTGTAGAAAACGAGCAAAAACTGGATACCAGCTGGCGAGTCGTCAATGCTATTGACATTGAAATAATCGTAAACACAATCGAATAATACTTATATACAAAGACCCTATATACTAACACATACACATACATATATATACATATATACGTATGTATCTATGTATACGCCTTTTCAGTGGTCAGTAGTTGGTTCAATTTTTTGTTCTTCCTGTCTGTTTGTTGTTTTTATTGTAATTACTGCATTTGCTGCGGTTTCTATCCGGTTGTCAACGGTGCCACAGCAGGAACGTAACGCCCTCGTATAAAGAATTTATAAACAACAACAACAATAGCATTAACAATGGCAACAAAGTGTTGCAACTTGCAATTAAAGCTATTTTCAATATTGATCGATTATTCAGTCTAATTGTTATCGATTAATTTTCTATTTTTGGTAGAAATATTTGATTACTCTATAAATTTTCAACAGATAAACTATAAATCTAAAATTAATAACTAAATACGAAGATCAGCTAAAATGAATTTAGTGAATACCGATCTATCGATCATATTAAAATATTTTTATTTAAGGTTTTTATTAATTTCCTAAATTTTTTACCCTTTCAGGTCAACTTTTGTTGTTCTATTCGATATTTTATATCGTCCTCGCCATATTGTTTACCATATGCATGCAGGGCATGTTGTCTACTGTGGACAACCACCAGCCCAAATGGCAGCTGGACCAATCCCTCATTGGCACCAATCCCGGCCTGGGCTTTCGACCACTGAGCGAACAGACCGAACGTGGCTCGGTGATTGGATTTGATATAAAGAAGCCGGCAGAGAGCGATTATTGGATTGAATTGATAGATGATTTCTTAAAGGGTGAGTGAAATGTTCGCTTTTGGTTATGAATATCAATATGCATATGCTGCTCTTCTATATAGATTATAATCACACTGAGGGTCGTCAGATGAAACATTGCGATTTTAAGCAAACCCACAATCCGAACGATGTTTGTGTCGTGAATATTGAGAGCTTTGGACCGTGCTCATCGGCGAATAGCTATGGCTATAAGACGGCCGAACCCTGCATCTTTCTGAAGCTAAACAAGATTTTTGGATGGATGCCAGAAGTCTACGAAAGCCCCATCAACGAGATGCCCTCCAATCTTGTAAATGTCATCAATAATACGGCTGCTGAGGAGGTAATGCTCTATTTATAAATAAGGATATTTGTGTGCACGTGCTGAGTAATTGAAATGACTGAGTGACTAAATGACTTATTGACGGGCAGAGAATGAATGATTGAAGGTTTGAACAATGCAGTTATTGATTGATTCATTTTAAACTTTACAGCGTCAACAAATCTGGGTCTCATGCAATGGACACTTGGGCAAGGATAAGGAGAATTTCCAGAATATCAGCTATTATCCCAGACAAGGCTTCCCCATCTATTACTATCCCTACCTCAATCAGCCTGGCTATTTGAGCCCCATTGTTGCTGTGCAAATCAAGTCTCCGCCATTGGGCACCATGTTGGACGTGGAATGTCGGGCATGGGCTAAAAATATCATCTATAGCGGTAGCTTACGCGATCGCATGGGTTCGGTTACTTTCCAGCTGTTGATTGACTAAACCAACAAGAAGACCTTGTGTGATTGCTATTAAAAAGCAAAAAAATAAAAACAAAACAAAAAAAACTTAGTGAAGAAATTCGAGACCAACTAACAGAACAACAACAAAATCAAGCTAATTATCTTAGAGCGTTCAAATTTTAAATGTATTGTATATATTTATATGAAGTAAAAAGAAAAAGAAAGGGAAAATAATATCGACGTTCGTTAATAACAAAGCAACATTTTTTTTAAAATAAATATTTAAAAAATATTAAGCGATATATTCACAAAAGTTTAAATCGTACACCCGAAATTGTTGTTAAATATAGCTTCTGGCTTTTCTTTGTTTTTGCTAATAAGTTAATCATTAAATTAATATTTAATTTATAATTTTGTAAATTCATGTAAAACATATATTATTAATTTGTCAGTTGTATTTAGTTTATATTTTCATAAATGTTATTATTATTGCCTTTCATCAAAATTCTTCTTTATTTTCTATAAAGTACATAAAGAAACAGTAAAATATAATGTTTTATCACATTTTCCCAATAATAATTATAAAAAAAAAAAAAAAAAAAAAAAAAAAAAAAAAAAAAAAAAAAAAAAAAAAAAAAAAAACAACAACACTGTCCGTGCATCCAATTAGATGTATTAAAAAGTATTGCAAATATATATATTTATCTATCTATATATATCCTTTAGTGCAATTTTTAGTAATAGCAACAAAAATAATAACAAAGGCAAATTCCAGGAAAATAATTTTGTGTTAAAGTTCTAAGCTTTGTTTTTGAGATTTATAGCGATGGAAATTTTTAAGTAACTTCTTTTTTGTTGCATTAATGAATAAATAAAACTTTTAAAAATATAAACTGTATTTTTTTGTGGGAGATAAAGCAGAAAAACGAAAAATAAGAATTGTCAGTGCAAGTTGAATATTTTTAATTTGCCGCCAACAAACGATTTTTACCTGTTTTAATAGTGTGGCAACACCATTGATAAGCAGCTGTGCGTATGCATGCAATTGAGCTGAGACTTCGTCGATATATCGGGCCAATGAAGTTAATCGATATATCTCCCAATTCTAAATATGAAAAGCGGCACTGCCAACTTGCCTGCCAAACAGCTGTGCGCACATCACAATTGTGCTGACAGTTTGTCGATATATCGAACAAAAAAAATTCATCGGAATTTGTTCAGCTTTTAGCTGTTTACCCTAAGAAAATTGCAATAAAAGTGATATATTCTTATTGAAACAACGATTTAGAGTTGTGCAAGTTAAATTGCTAGTTGTTAAGTGATGGCGCAAACAATAGATGTGGCCTGCGTCAAGGAGGAGCAGTGTGAGGCCATTTGTAATATGTTCAAGAATCAGGATTGGCAATTGACGATGCGACACAGAGATTTGGGCCTGGTCAAGATCGAGCAGGACATGAGTTTTGTGTGGCAAAGCAGCGCCAATGCCAGCAGCACTGACAATAAACAGCGGCAAGCAGCAGAGAAACAAACAGTGAAAAAGTGGGACAATTGTTCTGTTGAGTAAATTTGATTTTGTCAATAATATACCCATTCCCTAAATAGATTTCAGACAGGCAGCGAAAAGCCCTTCAAATGCGCCCACTGTCCCAAGGATTTCGCAACTAGCAGCAATCTCAAGGTGCATCTCACACGCACACACTCTGGCGATCGCGAGCGACCCTTCCTCTGTCCCACCTGTCCGAAATCGTTTGCGACGAATGACAACCTGCAGAAGCACATACGCAGGCACTCGAACGAGAGGACACTCAGTTGCCCACACTGCCCGAAGCTCTTTGCTACCAAGGACAACCTGCAGAAGCACATCCGTCGACACTCCAGCGAAAGGACGCTCATATGCCCGCACTGTCCCAAGGCCTTTGCCACCAATGACAATCTACAGAAGCACATCCGTCGCCACTCGAGCGAGAGGACCCTAAATTGTCCGCACTGCCCGAAGGCGTTCGCAACCAACGATAATTTGCAGCGACACATACGCGGACACACGGGCGAACGGCCATTCAAGTGCCCCTATTGCCCCAAGCCCTTCGCCCAAAATCGTGATCTCAAAGCGCACATCCTGGAGCACACGGGCGAGAAGCCCTACAAGTGCCCCCACTGCCCCAAGGCGTGCGTGCGCAGCGAGGGCTTGAAGAAGCACATTCTGCGCCTGCACAAAGACATTGAGCCAGAGCCGACGCAGACGACAGCCAAGCAGTGCGTAGATCGTAGATATCTAATATATCAAATGAAATAACTCCATGTTTATATATATCTATATACCTATATATATTTTAATTG